TGCATAACATTGGATTATATTCATTAAGACCCCCTCCTTCTTTGTTTTGAATGATGTTTTGATGATTCTGGATCCGTGAGATTCCCATCCTACAAGTGCATTTCGTGCTACTTTGGACAGCATAAGAGCGACTCCCTGAGTGTGTGGAGCATTGTCCTCTTCGTGACCGGAGTATAGCAGCATCTCTCCCGTAGCTAGCTTTTTCTGTCCAGCTTGGGTCCAGTGGGTTTCGCTGATTCCCAGTACTGTTAAGTTGTATCTCCTCATTTCCATTGATATTTGACTGGTCTTCCCGGTTTCCCACATTGTTCGAACGTTCCATGTACCTATAAAAATTTTTGCTCTGGTTGTTAGAAGGGGCATCGGCCTCGTGGCTTCCGAAGGAACTCGGCTTTCACCATGAAGCGTCATAATTCTTCTAAATGAAGACCTTCTAACTCCCAGGGCAGAGTTAAAATGGTTTGGATTATTTTTTCTGGTAAGCGTATTTTTTCACAGTACTTATTCCAGGACTAGTTAACAATATTAAATAACACTCCTATATATCTATATATATGTATACTCATGTATACTGGAATTCTTTCAGCTGTTTAGTGTGGCCCCCTATCTGGCTTCAATTGGACCGTATGCTGATTTTTGTCAGAATATGCATCCCGCAAACCGTCGAATGTAATTATAGACTTAAATCACGTTTGTGAATAACGAACTTGAAATAAGTCGAATATGAGAATGAAGTTTGAACACGTATATTGTGTACACTCATTGATTTGAACAGTCAATCAGGGGAATGAAGTTAAAGAAGCAAAGGAGTTAGAGAGAATCGAACCAAAATTGCGCGCAGTAGAGAAGGATAGTGGGCTAACTCGCTTTGACTAGGCGTGACTCAGTACTTATAATCAGGCAAAAAGAAATTAAAGATCCTTAGTGAAAAGGGCAAGTGATTAACACGGATACCATCATGTAAAATCAGTCAAGGTTGATAAGCCAACAAGTGGCAAGGTGAGATTGTGGCTCGAGAAGAATGAATAAACCGATCTGTCCGCAAACTAGAATAGCCTATGTGGGCTTGACATGGTATCAGTCACTACAAAGCCCCTCTGTAGAAAGTGTGAGCAATAACAATAACTGATTACAAAACAAGCTTATGGTAATTATCAGAGGGCTGCATGTTCGAACCACGTCGGCCCACCACTTTAGTGCGACCCTTTACCTGACTCCAGTTTGACCTACAGCTGTCAAACATGAGTGGAAGGGATAAGAGATAAGATGGCCATCATCTATAACAATGATTTGTATTGCTGTAAAAACCAGATTTCGTTTAGAAAGTACTTTACATATGATCGTAGCACTGTGTATCCCGACAGATGATTCTAGCCATTGACGACAAAACGCGAAAAAGGGAGCTACAGAAATAAAAAAGCAGTCCGGATCAAAACACACGGTTATGAGGAATATTTTTTATTCTCAGTTTTACAAGACAGTCTCTTGACATTCGGATGTTGTCCCGCGTACTCTTAATATAAATGCTGCGACTGATAGGAACTGGGTGATGCGGAAACTTAGAAGAGTAGGAAAGATAGCCAAAACTAACTCCCGTTTAGTTGAAAAGTCCTTGATGGATTCACATTCTACGTGTCAGATTACTCCGCCAAAGTCCCAAAGTAAGACCTAATCAATCATTGTTGTGAGTCGTTCGCTCGACTTCTACAACTATGTTACAAAGGAAACTAGTGGTAAGATCTTAGCAGTTAATATGCAGGATCTGCCATCGTTGTCGAAAGCCGTGAACATTATTTTCAAAGAAGTTAAACCCCTTTTTAGTTTAATTATTTGGAATCTAAAGGAGTCGAGAGACAATGACCTTGCTAAAAGACATGCACACGATCTGCAGTCAGTGGAATCTGTAATCAGAAATGTACTACCTGAAGAGGTTTCAGGAGTACATATCATGAAAGGATTACGACTTGGTGAATGGGTTGGAGGCTAGACCCAACCAAGAAGGATCTTGAAGTTGATACTCAGGAAGTTTGAAGAAAGAGACGTAATAGTGAACAACGCACATGAAATTCGTGGTTCAAATATTCGTATCCTACCAGGTTGACCACTTGAGGATCTAAGTAAGTGAAAAAATGACCTTACGTAGTTGAAACTCGAAAGTTAAATGGCTAAACGAATCCTACGATTGGGGGTTTTCGGGTAATCAAGTCTTGGAAGCCAATTATTCTGAGGCCTGTATGGGTAAAAGGAACATCGGTAATCTTCAAAATAAAACGTCCGAGCTGAGTTCGATGGTGGATAAACTAAGTCCGATATAATTGTTGTCACAGAAATTTGGCTCACCGTAGATATAGACAGTTCTCCCATCATTGCAGGTTACATCTGTATTTTGGAAGTGATAGAGTTTTACGTCACAAGGAATGAGACATAATGTTATACGTCACGGATCAATCTCGTATACAATCAATCATATCGGAGGCGCACGTTGGTGGTATATGTGAGGTAGCATGTTGTAAAATTAGGCCTAGAAAAGGGTTAGTGACCGTAGGAGGAATATACTGTAGTCCATGTTGTCTTGTTGACGACTCTACCTAAGACACATCTGTTCTAGGAGTAAAGCAGAATGTTGTCTAGTCATTGGAGACTTCAACGCACCGCATGACAACCGGATGGGGGGGTTTTGATAGCGGCCTTCTATCAACTATTATTAAGTCTACACTTGTATATTGTGTCGCAAAACCGACACAGATTGACTTGGAAGGTGACCCGTCACTGTTGAACCTTGTCCTCACACGCCACTGTGAGGATGTCATCGACATCCAGGACTTTCTCCCACTGATGAATAGCGATCACGTTGTACTTTAAAATAAGTTTAGGACAGATTGTGTACAGATTGTACTTGCTCCACCCTATCCCTATATCGTGTCAGCCAATATCTCGGCAATCAGAGACTGTGCTACGTCGACTGACTGGTCGGTCGACGCGGATGGGTGGATCGGAGACGAGTGGAATAAGTTTAATGCTGCATGAGAGTCTGTATTACCACCGTTTATCCCATGGTCAACACGTAAGCTACCACATTGCCGTCCACGGATCAATAAGGAAACTCGGAAGCTGTGGAAGCGCAGGGACCGCTTCTGATAGTTATTCTTGTCGACAGGACACGCATCGTTTAAGTGTGAATACAAAACAATCCGGGGTATACGTAAAAAGACTACATCTAAATCTCTCACTACTTATGAACGACAGTTGGCATATGATAACCATACTTGTCCGAAGCGACTGGAAAGACGCTATAGTCAGTCCTATATTTAGGGATGGTCAGAGACAGATCGCGTCCAACTAACGGCCTGTCAGTCTAAACAGCATAGTCGCTAAGTTGCTTGAAAAGATAATGCGGGTTAAGTTACTAGGTCACATGTGTTTCGTAACAAGCCTCCATGCTTGACTAACCTATTTATTGCGAGAGAGGATTGGACAGCAGCCATAGACAACGATTTGTCTGTCGACGTGATATTCACATACTTTGGCAAAACATTCGACAAGCTTTCACACTTAGGTATTATGCAGAATATCTCGAGCTTCTAAATAATAGGTGCTGTACAGGAATGGATAGGTGTTGAGTCCCGAGAAACATCATTAATGGTAACTTTGTGATCGTTTTATGGACCAATATTATACATATATTTTTATCGTATAGTTGTTAAATATTTAAACTATTCATCTTCATGTTCCCTTTATTATAAGCTTTATTTTGACTCATAAACTATTATTATGCTTTTACCATTGCTGAGTTGTGCCTTATCTATTAATTACTACCTCTCACATAGCCACATTTGGCCTATTCTTGCACAAATGTTGTTTCCTATTTTATGGTATGTTGTGGTCTGTTTGATTGATATATAAACTCAGTATGTTTGAAATATGAGGATTCATTTTGCAGAGGCTGAGACTGGTGTTCTGGACTTAACTGTCAGGGCTAGGAGGAAAGCAGGACTAATCAGGACTCTAGGCTGCTCGCACGTGTTTTACGCGTTCTGGGAACTTTTTACGCGATCGCAGACAGAGAGTGAGGGTCAATGGAACTCTATCCGAATGGAGGCCAGTCAAAAGTAGTATACCTCAAGGCACCGTGTTGGGCTCTCTACCTTTCCTCTTCTACGTTAATGAATTACCGCTGTTGCTCAAGTCCTTGACATTGTTATTTGCGGATGATGTAAAAATCTGGAGAACGCTAACAAGTGAGGCTGATCATTTTGATTTACAAGCTAACTTAGATGAATTAGTTAGATCGGCTTAGAAGTTAATTCTAGAAAGTGTGTGCTCATGCACATCGTACACGGTAATAGTTACCATTATACTATTGATGGTACATATCTTCCACGCGTTCAAGTACATAAAGACTACGGAGTAATAATAAGTCATGACTTGAAAACAACTACGCACTGCAACGCAGCTGTTGTCAAAGGCTTTTGCGTGTTATGATCAATTCGTCGAACAATCAAATGCTTTGACGAGCAAATGTTTAAAATTTAATATCCCACCTTTGTAAGACCACATTTAGAGTACTGTGTCCAAGCAGCTAGCCCATGTCGGATAAGGGAAACAAACTCACTCGAGTGTTCAGTATGTGGGAACAAAATTAATGAACGGTCTTTTTAAACTCCCTAACGGTGAGCGTTTAAAACGCCTGAGCCTTCTCCCTCTGTCGCATCGTAGTAAGGTTCACAAACCACGATCTAATAAACTTAGGACGAGGTCCCGTTTTTCTCACCGAGTAGTCAATGACTGGAACGCCTTACCCGAACAAGTGGTATTAACCCCATCAAAGAACGTTTTCAAGGAGAAGCTAGACCTTCACTGGAAGGCAATCTGTCAGGATTAATTCAGGTTCACCAAACTACTATCCTTATCACTGAAACTGAAGACAAACTTGAAAGCCGCGTTAATTGATTGAAGCTGCCAGGCGCTCTTTTTGGACTGGCGTTACGGTTCTGTAACTTATGGACGAGCCAATCACATATAAAGTGAGCTAACTAAATCTAAGCACAGACTTCATTCATCCGCATGGACGACAACTATTCTGGCGCTACAGGTGTTATCTGTTCGTTATAAAAATCTTAACCCTTATTCCTTATCCAACCCACACAACCCAAAAAGGGGACATAAAGGCGAAGAAAGAGGTAAATGCTTTGGTGGCGAAAGTTGAAACAAGGCGAAAAACGCGCCAGAATGTCGCCTTTATCGCCTGTCCGCGGGAAATGATGCGGAATTTCACCTTCTTCGCCGTTTTCTCGACAAATAACCGACTTATCGCCAAAACATCCGCTGAATTATCGCATTTCCGCCTAAATATCCACCGAATTGCCTACTTTTCGCCTAAATATCCGCTGAATTGTCTACTTTTCGCCTAGATTTCCGCGGAATTGCCTACTTCTCGCCCAAATACACACATAACCCCCTATTTTCCACCCGTTGACAGAACCCCAAAGGTCTCCTATGTTCGCCTATAATTTCAACAACAGACCAAAATATATCTGCAATGCAGTGGAAAAGCGGTACATCTTTGAAAATTTGTATTTAAAAGGAAAAGCGTATTATTGTACAACACTAGAGCCGAAGCTTAAGCATCGATTGTTTTGCATATCCAATGCAATTGCTAATTCATTGTTATTTGAAATTATCTGCAAAAGAAGGAATAGGTGATGTTTTATTTATAAGGAATGTGCATTTAACCAAAAGTTAACTGACACTCAAACACACATTCTCAACACTTCAACAGTTTCCCATGTAAGTAAAAGAGTAAACTGTTTGAAAAAATAATGTTTGTTGAAATCTAGGTAGAACATCAAAACAATTGCACGGACTATTCCCTTAAGCCACGTTCGTTCGGCTATTGAGAATTGAGGTAGTCGTCCTGTGAATTCTGAATTAAAAAAATAAAGAAGTCACAACCATATATCAATGACATGCTTTGGCACAGCCAAATACTTGAAGCTGAACTTACGGTTATGTTCGTTAGTATTGTTGACTGTAACCATAGAGCCGTAGGGAGGTTATCACTTTAAATTAGTATATACCTGGTCTTGTTTTCTTCTATTACGCTTTATCATCTTGTCTCGGATATCGTGAAAGTAACCTTGTGTCGCGATGTCATAGAGCTTACCAAGGTCTTTTTCGTTGACAGAGGATGACAGAAAGCGATGAGTTAAGGCACCTGAAGTTTAAGTAATAGATATAGGTTACTTCGTATGCAGCCGTAAAACGTGCATTTCTGTAGTGCTCGTTTTGAAGAGGTGCCAAGTAACGTGAATTTACTGGCAACCTCCGGTGTCAACAGATGCGACAGAACAAAACGCATCGACGATTTTGGGTCGTCACTTGATAACCTAGTGACTATTGCCATCTGCAATAGTAACAAATTATTAAATTCATGTTAATGACTTAAAAATCTGTCCCTGGTTTCTTTCTACGACAAACCAGTATCCAGCATCTGTAGTTCCTCTTCAGATGACAAAGGGAACTGCTGACTCGACAGTCGGCAATCGAATTGATGCGGTCTTTCGCGCTCATTAGACTTTGAAAGCAATTGTTTTACATTAATACTCAAATCCGAAATGGCTGTTGACATATTCTGCAACGTTTGACTGAATTCATTCATAGTTGACGAAATGTTTTGCACCATTGCATGCAACCTACCTAACCTGAAAAAGTCCACTTGATGATGCAGGTGACTTACTGGTCTGCTGAAGCACCATGGACACGCTTTGATGCCGATGTAGACGGGGATGTCTCTAATTGCGTCGAACATGTAAATAGTCATGAAACTTACTTAGCAATAGGCGAAACTAATTTGTCAAACAACCTGAATTGGGGATATTGAACATGACTATTGCCAACCTGCATTTCAGCAACATCCATGTCTACTGAATTGTAAAGATATTCTTGTTTACGCTTCATGGCAGCTCTAGGAAATGTTAGTAAGATTATTGTACATACCTCTTGTGCTTCTCAGTGTTATGTGGCAGAGTGTTTTCATCCGTTGAAGTGTTTTCCCGGTGAGATTGCAGTATTTGTATGGAAAGTAACAGATCTTTGGCAGACTGCAGAGAATCTATAGTGAATTATACTTTCTGTGTATGTAACTTACCTAATTCGTGAATAACTTTACATTTCATAAGTGACCAATTTTCATTCGGTTGGTCGCACTTCTGAAGGTGTATATCGACCAGCTCGTTCGGAAAAGCGCAAAGTTCCTTGCCTACTATCCACTCCTTGGATGCTATCATCAGTTGTTTTTTCCTGAGGACGTCAACAATGACGTACTTCTTGTTAGCGGGCTGAAAATAACATAAGACCTAATTAAATTATTTGTCGTCATTTATTAAACACTAGTGAAACAAAATGCATTTACAGCCAAGTATGCAGCAATGGGATTAGAACTAGATAATTCCTACAATTTATGGCCATACATTTACAATCTATGTCCTTAACCGAGATCCATGCGTGTTCATGGCTAACTACGGAGCACCTAAAGATTCCAATATCAGTAGATGGGAAAGGATCTTCAAAGTAATTGCGTGGGTCAGTGAAAGTCCTAAATTTTAGTAGTCCATCCTCCTTTATATCAGTGACTAAACCTGGCTGGCCGTTCACTACTACTACTACATTATCAGGCTGACATGAAGTTATTTTACTGTTGTTAAACATAATTACTTGTTTAGTGGAGACATCATTAGCGCCTATTGGTGTAGTAGTATTAGTTAACCCACTAAGTGTTACCAAGAAACTAACTAATTTATGGATAGATTTAGCACGCCGAAGACTGCGGAACTTCACTACACTAAACAAGTAATTATGTTTAACAACAGTAAAATAACTTCATGTCAGCCTGATAATGTAGTAGTAGTAGTGAACGGCCAGCCAGGTTTAGTCACTGATATAAAGGAGGATGGACTACTAAAATTTAGGACTTTCACTGACCCACGCAATTACTTTGAAGATCCTTTCCCATCTACTGATATTGGAATCTTTAGGTGCTCCGTAGTTAGCCATGAACACGCATGGATCTCGGTTAAGGACATAGATTGTAAATGTATGGCCATAAATTGTAGGAATTATCTAGTTCTAATCCCATTGCTGCATACTTGGCTGTAAATGCATTTTGTTTCACTAGTGTTTAATAAATGACGACAAATAATTTAATTAGGTCTTATGTTATTTTCAGCCCGCTAACAAGAAGTACGTCATTGTTGACGTCCTCAGCAAAAAACAACTGATGATAGCATCCAAGGAGTGGATAGTAGGCAAGGAACTTTGCGCTTTTCCGAACGAGCTGGTCGATATACACCTTCAGAAGTGCGACCAACCGAATGAAAATTGGTCACTTATGAAATGTAAAGTTATTCACGAATTAGGTAAGTTACATACACAGAAAGTATAATTCACTATAGATTCTCTGCAGTCTGCCAAAGATCTGTTACTTTCCATACAAATACTGCAATCTCACCGGGAAAACACTTCAACGGATGAAAACACTCTGCCACATAACACTGAGAAGCACAAGAGGTATGTACAATAATCTTACTAACATTTCCTAGAGCTGCCATGAAGCGTAAACAAGAATATCTTTACAATTCAGTAGACATGGATGTTGCTGAAATGCAGGTTGGCAATAGTCATGTTCAATATCCCCAATTCAGGTTGTTTGACAAATTAGTTTCGCCTATTGCTAAGTAAGTTTCATGACTATTTACATGTTCGACGCAATTAGAGACATCCCCGTCTACATCGGCATCAAAGCGTGTCCATGGTGCTTCAGCAGACCAGTAAGTCACCTGCATCATCAAGTGGACTTTTTCAGGTTAGGTAGGTTGCATGCAATGGTGCAAAACATTTCGTCAACTATGAATGAATTCAGTCAAACGTTGCAGAATATGTCAACAGCCATTTCGGATTTGAGTATTAATGTAAAACAATTGCTTTCAAAGTCTAATGAGCGCGAAAGACCGCATCAATTCGATTGCCGACTGTCGAGTCAGCAGTTCCCTTTGTCATCTGAAGAGGAACTACAGATGCTGGATACTGGTTTGTCGTAGAAAGAAACCAGGGACAGATTTTTAAGTCATTAACATGAATTTAATAATTTGTTACTATTGCAGATGGCAATAGTCACTAGGTTATCAAGTGACGATCCAAAATCGTCGATGCGTTTTGTTCTGTCGCATCTGTTGACACCGGAGGTTGCCAGTAAATTCACGTTACTTGGCACCTCTTCAAAACGAGCACTACAGAAATGCACGTTTTACGGCTGCATACGAAGTAACCTATATCTATTACTTAAACTTCAGGTGCCTTAACTCATCGCTTTCTGTCATCCTCTGTCAACGAAAAAGACCTTGGTAAGCTCTATGACATCGCGATACAAGGTTACTTTCACGATATCCGAGACAAGATGATAAAGCGTAATAGAAGAAAACAAGACCAGGTATATACTAATTTAAAGTGATAACCTCCCTACGGCTCTATGGTTACAGTCAACAATACTAACGAACATAACCGTAAGTTCAGCTTCAAGTATTTGGCTGTGCCAAAGCATGTCATTGAGATATGGTTGTGACTTCTTTATTTTTTTAATTCAGAATTCACAGGACGACTACCTCAATTCTCAATAGCCGAACGAACGTGGCTTAAGGGAATAGTCCGTGCAATTGTTTTGATGTTCTACCTAGATTTCAACAAACATTATTTTTTCAAACAGTTTACTCTTTTACTTACATGGGAAACTGTTGAAGTGTTGAGAATGTGTGTTTGAGTGTCAGTTAACTTTTGGTTAAATGCACATTCCTTATAAATAAAACATCACCTATTCCTTCTTTTGCAGATAATTTCAAATAACAATGAATTAGCAATTGCATTGGATATGCAAAACAATCGATGCTTAAGCTTCGTCTCTAGTGTTGTACAATAATACGCTTTTCCTTTTAAATACAAATTTTCAAAAATGTACCGCTTTTCCACTGCATTGCAGATATATTTTGGTCTGTTGTTGAAATTAAAGGCGAACATAGGAGACCTTTGGGGTTCTGTCAACGGATGGAAAATAGGGGGTTATGTGTGTATTTGGGCGAGAAGTAGGCAATTCCGCGGAAATCTAGGCGAAAAGTAGACAATTCAGCGGATATTTAGGCGAAAAGTAGGCAATTCGGTGGATATTTAGGTGAAAATTCGAAAATTCAGTGGTTATTTAGGCGATAAGTCGGTTATTTGTCGACAAAAGGGAGAAAAAGGGGAAATCCGCATTATTTCCCGCGGACAGGCGACATTCTGGCGCGTTTTCTGCCTTGTTTCAACTTTCGCCACCAAAGCATTAACCCCTTTCTTCGCCTTTATTTCATCTTTTTGGGTTCTCTGGGTTGGTTAATATTTTCCACAGATATCATGTCTTTTCCATTGTTCTCATCCTTTTAAAAGCATAATTGTCTTGTGGTTGTCCATAGACATATTAGCTGTTGTTCATGACACAATTCATGTTTAGTACCTCTCTCCATACTTGACTTGATTCTATGGTGATCGACCTTACGCTTGGTGTGCTTCTCATACCCGAGGGACTTGTGAGTGGATTAGTTACATATACCATGCTCCATTTTAAACTCACTCATTTTGAGATATTATGATAATTCCTGGATATCATCAATTTACCTGATTCGGTTTTATGGTTTCGGAATGCCTGGGATACAGCGAATTCGAATTAATTATTGTCCGACATCCCTTTAAACTTTTATTTGTAAATACATGAGTTTCTTGTTTAACCGAATGAATCTTGCAAATTACATTACATCAGTCTTCTATTTCAAAGTAGTACAGATTTCTAGTAATAAACATTGAAGACACTTCTAAAAGACAGATTTTATAAATAATCACTAGATAATTTTGCTTTTGTAAGGGTGGAAATAGTGAAAGAAACATGGTATCTGTGGGAAATAATGACAAAATTAGGCGATAATTATAAAGATTTGGGATAAGAAACTCCAGAAATTTCTCGAGTAAATTCTTTGCACATTTTCCGAAATCAGTGGAAATGTAGTGTTTTATTTTCGTTAACAAGTCACAGACCTAGAAAAACTTTAAACAACAATACAGAACTGGGCATTTTCCTGCATTTGATTCAAACTTTTTAATGTGAATTTCTCAAAATTGCTTGATTTTCTCCAAGTTGAGAGTTCGCTTTATCTCCTGCTATTCCTTAGCTTATATGATGGATTAATTAAACAGACACCTTTGACTGTGCTTATGTTATGTGCCAAATGAATTATTATTTATTTATTTGAACACATAAATATTGGTACAAAGGGGCACCGAATGCATATGTGCCACACAAGTCACTTGATTCGTGTGTGGGCTGGGATAATGCCTGAGTGCCCAAACCGAAACAGATGGCTTTCTTAGGCGGCCACACCCGCAGCCTTTATCTAAAGGTCTGACCCACACAACAGTAGAGCAGCGTTAGGAGATGCAGTCCCGTGGTAGCAGGTGACCATTAATAGGTTCATATGCCGTTTTTTCCATCAGGATACTGGAGCCCATGTGCACCACTGGTTTGAAATCATGATTTTCCAACTCTCCTAGGTAGATGCTTCGTACCCTCCAGTCCGGTTTAAACACCGAACATTCTCTTTTCGTACTTTCAATTTCGTAAACAACACCTCCGACGCGACAAGGTATTGGTTGTATACGCGTGGCCATTTGAGAGCACTTCGAGAGGGTGAGCTAACTCTCCCCACCCTCGGCCGTACTAGGACGTTTGGGTGCGTGCCAAATGATTGATCTGTTTGGTGTCTGGATCAACAACATGATAATGTTTTTAATACTTATAATGTTTTCCCACCAGTTCTAGTGTTCTAAAGTCAAATATTTCACCTATAAATATGAGTGTGTTTTGATAAAATTTCTACTTTTAGAACACCAAATATTATTCATCGATGTTTACTAAGATAATATGACCGGATTCTCACTCAGTCAGACGTTGTATGTACACCAAAATCATAGCACCCTAGTAAGTGGATATCCAAAAACATGAACTCTGAAAATTCTTAAGTGACAATCGTGTTCTTGAGATTTTAACACCGCAATAGCCTAAAAATACCTTCCGGTTTGTATAAAGCGATTACCCAGTATTATAACGAAATGAATATTTAGAATTTTGGAGCTATTTTGCGGGTTATTATTATTGTTTTGTATTTTCACTGTTTTATCGGATAACTGTTATTCCATTTCTATATCCTCATCATAAGCTTTAAGCAAATCTATTAGCTGTTGTTTTTCGTTTTAACATCCCTTAGTTATTGCTTACTTATTACAAATCGTTTGTTTCTCTCCCTCCCATTTGTGTGTTTGTTTTTCCAAAGTACGACTTCTCGCTTGATATGCTTCGCGGTCTGATAATTTGCCTGTATAATCTAACAAGTGTTTGAGATAAGTTCTGTTGGGTCGAGCGATTAAGATATAATAATAAGAAAAGCTAGATTGCATAATTCTTTTCGGACACAATTCTAGTGGTTAGGAAAGTCATTGGAATAAGTTAATTACAAGAGTATAACTAACGTTAGCTCAATGTTAATTGTGCCGGTCAAAACGTATGGTTGCTCAGGACTAACAAGAAGCTTGTCTATAGCCGAAATAGCAGACTCGGGGCAAAAAATTGGAATTCTGGTTAACGAATTTTTCCCTTGTTATCGATTAGCGTCCTAAGGCAAAGTTCAGCATATATGATCTGTTTATGAAATATTGTAGTCATCGAGTAGCTTATTTCATACAGATAAACAAACCAAAAATGGCCTGGGTCGACTTACAGAAATAAAGCTAGTCCTATACACAACTGTTATCTGTATATAAATATTCTGATTCATAAACGTTTTGAGTAATTTTACTTGATTAGATCTAGATTATACTGGTTCTTCTGTTGATTAATTTGTAGATAACGCGTCACTAACCAGAACATCGACAGCTGCCAGTATCAAATACGTTTTATAGTTGTTCACTTGAACGATGACAAAGCAAAAACACTCGACTAATGATGTCACACATTTTTCACCTGTTCATCATCATATGAATTTATTATATCAACAAATGTCTTTATTCATAGACTTAAAACCAACATTGCAAAATGAAGCATTTACAGCATTGCTATGCCGTATAACCTCACAAAATCTAAAAATTCTTGGTAGAAAATCGCAGACACGATTATCATTTGCTATACGTCGATCATTATGTACTAAATGCTTAGTTCCATTACAATTGTCGGGCAAAATAAGGGTGAGGAAACGACGTATTCGTCTGTCATGTGTATTATGTAATCACCAATCGACTATCTCTTATCCAATTAATAAGTGGCGTGCAAGTTATTCAGAGTCTGTACTACCAGATTCTTTTTGCTGTAATGAAACTATTGAAAAATCCAATAATGAATAACCAAAAAAGATAAAATTTCCAATTATCGTTTCTTTTCTGTAGTTTTAAATAATTGAATGTTATTCTTTTGTTAGTCCCACAAAGGATTGTTGTTAGCTCATTCCTGGATAGATTCATGCGCTTGACTTTGAGTCACACTTTAAGTAAGAGCTAGTGATGCTACCCGATTAGCCAAACAGTGGCAGGTGATAAGTCGGGTTCGAACCTCTTGCCTAATTAGTGGCTGGGATCCGGAAGTGTCATCATTGAACCACACCTTCCTGATATCTGACTGATTGTTATCCCTCCTAATTTGACAGTTTTGTTGTGTTCCTGAGTCGTTACATATTAATGTGTGAACAGAGTCGTTCCATCTATAACTTCTCTGACTTTGTTGAATATCAAGCTTTTCCTGAACCCTTGTGTTATTCTTGAGTTTCTTGGTTTTGAGGATAACAGTAAACATTGTATATTTAAGTAACCGTACTATCGAGTTCGGATTAGTTCCCATTCTTATTTGGAAATTACCATACGGTTAACTGGATTGAAACCCAATTTCTAAAGATAACACTATTAAAAGGTAAATTTATAATCTATGTGAACACCGATAGTTCGTTGAACTTTCTAAGTTCTTAAATCATGCCAGAATTCCCCATGGTTGGCCATTTATTCTCATAAAAATAGCTCTGGTTTCTGTATATATATCCTGCTTCAATCCTGTAACACTTTGACTATTGTGCCGCACAGACCAAAATTGATAAACATCAATTATTAATGATGGGCTTCTAATGTCAACCATGCAGCGACTCGGAAATAAGTTGAAGACACCAAAAATAATAGAATAAGATTCTTTTTGAATATGTTTGTCATCAAACTCTGATAAAGTGCGTCTGGGGCTCGAAGAGAAGACGGCTGTAGTTAGAAATAACGCAAACGAATACTAAGCGACAACACTAAGTAAATATATGAATAGTTGGAACATAACGTGCAGTTAATGAGAGAAACAATCCATACCAAAATAAGGTACTTAGGATACGAACAACGTAGACAGAATTCGTTATTTAATGACAATAAATTCGGACTAGATGTTGGACGATAGCTGACTATGAATGGAATTACGCAGTCACATAAACCAAACGATAGTAATTCGAGATTAAGAGTTCAGCGAGCCAGCACCTCTAAAAGGTAGCTTCTATCTCTTGTTACTTATTTGACCTCTTCACAACAATCCCAGTATAGAAACATCTTGTCAACTACGCCCAACAAGATATACACCTCAAAACTATTTATATGGTCAGACGACTGTTTTCAATGAAAATATACCAATTACTTGTGTATTGCAGAGAGGTTCGAACCAGTAAAGTGCTATATGCCGTATCCTCACCCATCAACCTTGGACCCGGCAAATATATATATATATACTTTGTTAAGAAGATGAAGTTTTCCTGGAGGGAAAGCTTTACCTACCAATCTTGTTTAACTCCAATCCAATGATTCTCTTTTGTCTCTGCATAACCTAAATAGGTGATCTTAGAATAATATTCAAACTCCTTACTGGTGATTATCAATTGGGATTTATCCCAACAAATATTAGAAAACAGTGAGACTTATTATGTAACTACGACGAGTAATTGCCAGTTATTACCCGAACTTAGGGTCATGATCAGTTCAATTAAGTGGGTCTTGAAGTCATCTTCAAACTAAATATTTGATAAAAAAAAACTCAGCATCAAATTGTGACGTAAGTTCAATCAAGTCCTCACACTCTTAAGTTTGCATTCAGAGTTCGCAAAAACTTACTCCGTCCTAAATAAGACTTGAGTAAGACGACGCATGGTGTATGAATTAACTTACATACATGATCAAAGTTTCGGAAACTCGGCACTATCAAAACTACGCACACATTGTGCTGGTATAAAATGGAGACAAGCAGTTGTGGGTTAAAAACTCGTATTGATGATATAAAGATAACATACTGTTTCAGTCCATTCTAAAATAAACAGCTCTTCTAGACAAGATGAGAATAGGAGACGGATATACATAATTCAGACTAAGGTTGCTTGTTTCGTATTTGTTGGCGGTCTAATGTATAGAAGGAAGCACTTAATCACGTACGGGACTGTTCATTTTCGCGAGGACAGTGGGTAGCGTGTCAAGATTCCTAAGACTAAGAATATTAACAATGTTCAGTTACTAATGCCCACTTAACTAGTCCTGTCCCGCGACGCACTTTTGAAGTTGTGTCGGACCCATTACTTTACGAACAAGAGCTATCCTTAGATTGTGCATTATAACTCATGGGGAATCACTTATCGCTAACTAAGCGTTATATTTGCGACAGCCGACGCTTGCTACCGGGATTATAATCTCGGTTAGCTGAAACCCAGAAGTAACCCGTCATCAAGCTGGTTTTCTCATAAAGTATAAACCAAACCAGATGCAGCAGCTACCGTCCAGTTGACATTAAATTTGGCTCAAGGATATGCAATACAATCACACAGGCCACCTAGAAGGGTCATCCTACAGAAATGAGAAAATATCGCAACCAGAACTTAGCGGTTACCCTGCAACTGAATAAAGGGAAGGAGTACAACCAACTGGCATTGGGGAGCGCACAAAAAGTTAACTCAAATACGACCGATGTAGTCACACGTAGCAAATTGACCGGGTATTCACTCTGACAGCCGTCAACCATTGTTACTGTTATGCTGTGATTAAGTGTAGGCCCAAGTAATACACAACGAACGACACAGGAGCCTAGTTTGGTGGATTCAGTTCGAGTAACTATTAGGCTGACGCTACCAGCAAGCTGAGACACTATAGCCGGGGAATTTACAGGAAAAACACTAAATAACTAAAAATCAACTAGAACGCCTATCACATGAGCATCACCCAAGTTAATACCCGCAACAGAAACAAACAAAACCAACACAGGAGTACATTCTATTGACATACCATTTTTTGTTTACAAGAATATTTCAGAGAATTACTATATTCGAATGACACCCAAGGAATCCACCTGGCCAAAATTAGTCATTTTGTCAGACCAAACCTATTATCTCCGAATGCAACTGTAGAAAAAAAAAGAAGAGGTAAGTCACTAGGTGCAAGAAATAATTGCAATCAGATATTATATTACACATCTGGACTCAGATGGGGAAAGATATTTCATCAGAATAATGTTGGCACTTACCCAGTATATATCTCCGTATACTAGACATCGAAGCCTTTGGAGAAGATTCACATAATTTGCGTTAATGACAAAGACCTAAAAGAGAAACCACAGAGTTATATAATAAGAGGAAGAAGTAACAACGATCAGTCAACATATTACACATCTCGTGTCAGACGGGGAAAGATGTTTCATCAGAGTAATGCTAAAACTTACATAGTACTTATCTGTAGTTCCCATCAGATATATTGTCGACTTGATGGTGCTAATGTGGAGGGTTAAATATTATGTTTGTAAAGATGCCTCTATCTAACGCCTTAACCCCAAACAGCCTTGTAACCATTTGATTACATCTCTCATCAATACATGGAGTCTCACCAACGACCATGGTAAAGAGCCACGACAGTATTCAAGACATGCAGTCCCGCCATGTGTCAAGCGTGACTCGTCAAATGACCAGAATGCAAACAAACACTCAAACTTTACCAAGTATAAACAGCGAACTTTTTATCTGGTGGAGCTTGACTCCTGTTGTTGGAGGAAGTTGTTTGTTTCAGAAAATTTAAGTGCTTATTTTTCTTCAGAAAATATGTGATAAAAACATTAGGTATATGGAGATGGGTGATTGAGTAATAACAAGTGGAGTAGTCTATTTTGGTAACACTGTGACTATAAAGTTCTTTCGAAAGAACTAGCAGAGTTCAGAGCCATTATCACTTCTTTTCGTGAATTCCACTACACATTGTTTCCATTTACGATCAGGTTAGCATGTTGTTTTTCCCATATTCTCTCATGCTGTGCCCTGACATGATGCCCTCTTATATGTGGCTTGATGTTGAATCGTAGGAGCGGTATACTCTAGTGAAGAACTGCATGAACAATAAGACTCATTGTACTCATATACCCTTCACATAAACTCCGAAATTTGTTTGGCAGAACTAGAGAATTGTTTGGTCTACAAGATTCATGTCTGTACTATATACAATTCAAATCTAGTACTTTTGTACGAAGGGATTAGGATCTATGTCTAATCCAATCATCTTGGTTAGTCTTTTTCGAGCATGCCTCAGGAGAGTTACATCCTTCTTGAAGCAAGGGAACACAAAAGCGGTCTCGAACGTTTCAGGATTCAGGATACATAGAGTTCTGGAGCAAAGTTTCCTGATAGCATATACTCCATTGGCTGCGTAATACCATTGTGAGAAGAAATTCATAGTTTTGTAGGGTTTAGAAGGGTTACATCCCCATAGTACTGTATTGCTCAACAGAATATTTTGTTTCAAAGTTAGCAAAGCAATATAATCCTAACCTATTCTCAACAAATCGCAAGTATTATTTAATCCGGAGGTCAAAGAATTGTTAAACTTCCACACCGAAAATGTGACAGTGTCTTAGATTTGTGGCACAAGCCGTGTGAGAGTGGGTTTTGCAAGCTGAGTATATTCTTTCGTTTTGAGATCAGAGAGGAAGATGACTTCTTTACGGCACATAACATTTAGTACTTCAGGTCGTTTTAGCAAAGCGACGTATCCCTTTACCGTAGAGCGAACAGTCATAATTTTTCTCGTTTCCAACACTACCAGCCTTAAGGGAATTTTAGATACAAGACAATTTTGGGAAGGGACCAGATATTTTATCATGTGTTCACAAGTTGCTTTCAGTCATGACTTTGACTCTACAAGCAGGGTGAGTTGACAGATCACTCCTTGGAGTATCTTCTGTGTTATTCAACGTTGTTTCCTCATTTTCTTGTCCCATACTACTGATATTTATCTTCAACCCACTCTCAGGTACAATGCACCTCGATATCCTTCCCCATTTACACATTTTCACTATAAATGAGCACCAG